CACACACAAATATTGGGTAAAATAATACATTTTTAATTCCACTGACTGAACTATATTATTTATAGATACAATAAAATCTGCCATATTGAATTTATTATTATTATTATTATTTTCAATTAATTGTTTGCTTGCCAAAAGAATACATGCTGTTCTGCATTACAAATAAATTTTAGAAACCCTTAATGCTGCTTTTGTAAGTTATAACCCTAAGTTAAGCAGAGTTTCACACACTAATTTTAGAGTTAACGCTGGTTTTGAGTTTACGGTGTGAAACAATGCTGTGCTAGACTGTTACTGCAAGTTGTTTAGCAACAGACAATCAATCATATTGCTTCACTGCTTACCTCATTAAATATTCATGTGTTTTATTCAGTCTCAAACTTTCATGCTGTGTTCAGTTTATGTTCAGTGGGGAATCTCTGAACCTGGCACTCATTAATTAATAGTTTTCAGTCACGAGACTCACACAGAGACCTGGAGGGCAAAATATGCATAGAACTGCAGCACAGAGGCCTCTCAGTTTTACATCTGTTTCAAGCCACAAATATTTAGATCACCTCTCAAAAAAAAGCACATGCTGTAATATATATATATATATATATATATATATATAAACACTTATAAAACGGATAGTTCCAGTCCTTGATTCTGATTGGTTGAGCCGCGTTCGAAGCCGTTGTAAATTACTCAACAAACACACACTTGTGATTAGCCGGCCATCGCCATCTTGGCAGTGCGTCACTCCTGGATAACCGCAAATGGGCAAAGAGGCGGGATTAGCTGAGGTGATGTGATGGCTAACAGACAAACGGCTAGAAGTGAAGCAGCTGCAATCCACCTGTCACTCAAGTGGCCACGCCCTTAATTATGCAGGGATTTAAGGCTTAATATAATTTAAACGGATGTGTTATACAAAAAATCACCCCCCTCACAGTTGTCATGAAGGGAAAAATGATCTATATAGACCAAAACCCCTTTTTGCTCCAGGCTGTAAACACATTTTTTTCTGCTGTAAAGTTGGGCATTTTAACATGGGGGTCTATGGGATTGACTCTCTTCTGGAGCCTGTCTCTAGAGGCCAGTCGATGAATTGCAGTTTAAGTCACTTCCGTGTTGGATTCAAGAGAGACCGGAAGATTTCCGCTTGGGAAAGGGACAGTGTGATGATACTTTTCATTTATTTGTCCTTTCAATTGAGCTATGTTAGAAAATCCAACAAGCTCTTTTATGAGAAAGATGACTCAGATATTTCATGAAATGAGTAATTCGTTGTACTATGTTGTTCATTAACATGTAGATGTATTTTCTTGGTACTTCTTAATGCTACTTATGAATGATGCCTCATATCATGGAGAATGTTATTAGCTATCTAATCTCAGGACTTTTGGACAGTAAAATGGGCAAAGAATTACATAGATTTGCATTGAAAGAGGGGCAATATTTATAGATCAGAATATCATATATAGCAGGTCAGGGATTCTCAACGCTGTTGTGTAACTTCAACATTGATCAAACTCACCTTCCTGTAGCCAGTAATTCTGAAGACCTTGACTAGTTTGTGTAGGTGTGTTTTATTAGGGTTGGAGCTAAACTCTGTAGGAAAGTGGACCTCAAGGGTCAGTATTGAGAACCAATGCCATGATATAGATGGTAAGCTTGGTTAGCATCTAGTTAGCAACTAGAAACCACCCAGGGGTGCGTTTCCCACAAGCATTGTTATCCAACTATGGTCACAAGTTATTGGAGTGCTATGGGTTGGGTCCAAATTCTGAGTATATGCAAGTCTGAACTGTGGTAAGGTTACTTGTCCGTATGACAAGTGGTCTTAAATAGTAACAATCTATAGATTTAATTCCATTTCAATATACATTTCAATATTTTAGCATGTCAACAATCGTCGCTGTTTTGAAGAGTGCACATGTGTGATATAAGAGGAAACCCGCAATGAGTCAAACATCAAATAAAGAAAAACGACGGGGATAAAAATAGGGATGCCATGTTTGTTACAACAGAATCTCAAAGAAATTGCATTGTGGAGAAAGCAGCTGACTGAATGAACCGCATGTATATAGGAGTAAAACATATGCCAGTTACGCCATACTGGATGTAAACGTGTTTCAAAAATGATCAGATCTCGAATTAAAGATCTAATTGATTAATCTGCAAAAGTATGTGCATGACATAATGACATAATTAACGACAGTCATATATTGTTGCAGCAATATGGTTAAAATGACGGATGTGTGACGGTTTTGGGAAACTGTGGCAGTGACTAGCTAGTTCATTTCTCTGACTATGCATTTCACAATGGCGGTTGAGCAGTGAGTTGCATTGTTGTTCGGGAAACACTCCACATAGCAAGATGTTAAAAACTGTTAAAACACCATAGCAACAGCATGGCAACCACACACACATTGGTGGAGAGCTGTGCACAGTCAAGCGCCTCTCACATCATTGTCAAATGCAAGTAAATATCTGCTTTTTAATGTAGTAAAATGGGTTAAAGGAGTTTTTCCAAAGTATATGCGTCTTGTATCTGGATCCCAAGATGCTACAAGAAGGGGATATTTTGGGGCTGAGCATTTGGGTTTCAAGAGACTTGTACTGAATTTCGAGTACTTAAGATGCATCCAAAATGTGTGAAAATCTTGATTAATTCAGCCCTGCATGTGTTTGTTTTTCTTTGAACTTGCTGCATCTCCCTCTCTCTCTGTGTGCTTTGGGTTTTACACTCAAAATCATTGCTTGTTTTTGTTTCACGTTAGCTCTATTTAGTATTAAAAGGTTAGCCGTGGGTTAAGAATGGGTTAGATTGATGCAGCCGTCATGGGCAAGGTCACTCAGAGAGGAATTCCACATCAGCTCTTTCTATTATGTGCAGTCATGTGGGGAAGACCAGGCATTTTCCCAGATGGTGATCTCTCTTGCAAATGAGCTTTTCACTGGATGTGTGTTAGTGTCACCTTGAATGAAACGGTCGACTGTGAAATGTTTTTGTATTAATTAATGAATTAATTTTATTAAATGGTTGCGCAGAATCATTTATCCAGATGTGATGATGCTTCTGCTGGCATTCGGGTACTGTACTTGACAGGTTTGTTTTTATGGTTTGTTTTAGCATTGGTATTTCAATTAATTTGTCATCTTAAAGAGAAACACTCTGTATTAACTTTTATTAATAACATTTACAAACATTACACATCATATAATTCTTCAGATCATGGTCATTTATACTGCAATGAAACTTTGATGCATATAAATGTACAATATTTTTTCTCTCTTTTAATCTGTTATGCATTAACCTATATTTGTTAAAGGCTTATTAAATGAGCCATATGGGTCATTGGATAATCATCTCATATTAAATTCAAAACATAAATTGAAATTGCTCCCAGGATTATGTGTCCTGCCACAGGATCGCTGTCCACACTGTTAGAATAATTGCAGCTCTAAAACATTAACCTAGCCATCAACCTTTGACATCACTTCCTTGATACAAAAGTTCACTTTGAGGTAAATTCCTTAAATATTTTATCATTTTAGCCCGCAGTTGTTCCACCCACATTTTCAAAGTGATATGCGAAAGTAATTATGTTTCAAACATTTAATATTGTATATGTGACTTGAATTATTGCATAGTTGAGAATTGAACAGAGGTTCTTTCAGAGGTTAGGTTTCCGTTAGGCTCAATGTGTACAAAGTCAGCAACTGTCACTCACAACATCACAGTCTACAGTTATTCAAGCCTAAATTTGTTCATTTCAATATGATATGATATGTTATACATTATATAACATATCATAAAATGTATGTTTATTTTTCTTTGTCATTCTTTTGCAAGCAGGTCTACATATTTTTAAAGAACCTTTAGTGTTACTTTAATCATGTTACGCCACATTCAGATATCATTACTTTCATACAAATTAGCTGATGAAATGCAGGACTCAGCTGGGGAAAGCTCCAAATACATTACCATATTCATATTAAACTGAGAGATTTTTTTAAATGATATGTTTCTATGTTGTAATTGCATTTAAATATGTTTTTTGGGGGTTTCAAGTTGATTAAAATATGTAAATTTTTTTATTTTTTAAATAAGGTTCTATTTGCTAATGTTAATGCATTAAGTATAAATAAACCGTTTGATCTAACAATAAACAACATATTTACAGCATTTACAGCACTGTTAGTGTAAATTTGTAAACATGCTGATCATTGTTAATTCATATTCATTCATAGATTAATGCTTATTTTTACAACTTGGGTTAATAAATATTAGTAGGCCTACATGTAGAAATTAACGTTAACCTGCATGGATTATTAAAATGTTGTTCATTGTTACTTCATGATAACTAGTACAATAACTAAGATTACAAATGAAATCTATTGTCAAATGCTCCATATCAACTTTTTTATGGCCCATATAATGGAAATTATTATGTTACCAAACCAGCATCTTCTGTAACTGCCTTCTGTCGCTATTGCAAACCAATACACACCGCATATTGCCCATGTGGTACTGAAATGTAGTTAGTAAATCCTTTATCATTAGATGACCTTGTGAGTCAATAAACACTGACTCTTCCTCCAGGAGTTATTTAATTACGTAAATGTAATACACTGGTTATCCTTACTGTGATCACTATACCTTTGCATTTGATAGTGTAAGTGAGTTTTACTGGTGTATTGCATTACAGGGCCTTAGGATCAGATTCAGATTACACTGATTCTTGACACATGGGACAAAAGTATAATATTATTAATAATATGTGTTTGGAGTTTTGGATTAATATGTGTCCATTGGTATTCATTCACACTTCAGTACAACCACCTGCTACACAAATTGTGTGTTTTTATTAATTGCTCAATGTGTCAATGCCGTCAGATATATGTGCCTTTATATTTGCAAATAAATAGATATACATTTTCAAAGTGGAAATTTTTATTTTTTATCCCATGTCTCAGTTGTGTATTTTTCTTTTCTGTCTCTCTCTCAGCAGGTATGCACACCAGCATCAGTGAGATTTTGAAGGAGAAAACGCTAAAGTCGTCCCGCCGCAGTTTGCCATGTCTGGCTCAGAGTCAGACACATCCTGAGAACCTCAATCACTTCCTGTCTGTGCCTCTGAGTCCTGAACCCAAAACATACAGTCACAGCGTCAGTGCCTCCTGCGCACACATCATACCTCCTCCCACAGGTGAGCACTTGCAGAGCTTTTCTTAGTCTTTTTAGTTAGCTTATGGTTAGCAAGCTAACCTATTAGCATGATAACATGTCCTAACTAATGTAATACACAACAAACCCTTCAGTGTTTCCAATATTCAAGTTTTTGATAGTTTTATTGTAAATGAAAAAAATACATCATAATTTCATTCAATTGAACAAATTTCTGCCATTAATACTGTTGCTCAGGGAACCAAGGTTACATATATAACCAGACGTTCCCTTTTGAATTGGAACTTCAACACTGCGTCTTGGTGTTAATGCTATGGGGAAGCAATAGCCACTACGCCATGCTGAAGGGGTGCCTGCCTCACTAAGCTGTGAATATTCACAGACGACATAGCACTCAATGACTCTACAGAGCTTAGTCAGAATCAAAAGTGCGTCAATTCCAGGGCGCATCCTATGTGACCTGCAAAACTTATTTAGTAGCACTACTCTTAAGCCTGAATTTTCAGGTGTTAGTGAAAAAATCCAAGCTTCTATGCTCTATAGCAAGGGAAGACTCGGCAGTTACACCTTCCTCCCTCCCTTGCGGGACAGGCCTCAGCCAGAAGCCCAAGAGGAGGGCTATAATGGGGGGATACACAACATAGACTCAGCATGCCTCATAGCATCTCAGCTGTATTTCTGAGAAGGTTCTAGGGGGCTTACCAAAGGGAGCATGCAAGGTACTAAATACCTCAGTAAAACAGACGTAGTATAAGAGTGAACGACTACTTAATGGACATAAAAGTCTTAATGCACATATAGGATATAATGCAGTTTGTCCAATAATTCTCATCCATCAGGCTCTATACCCCAATGAATCCAATGGGGAGCTGTGGCCCTACTTAACCCCACATTCAACTGAGACATTCAATTAGTATTACAAACTAATTAATTAATCAGTTTCTTGTTAGTTAATTGTAGTTATTATAATGTTAATATTGTGTTACTCATGTATTCTGTTTTGGTGACCAGAAAGGACTGTATAATTAGACTGGTCTTTAAAGGGTTGTGGCCACCAGGGGGCATCGATTAGAATGCAGACAAGATGTTCCGTTTAGGTGTTTATTAAGATAAAAGTTTAAAGGTGTGTGGTTCTGAAACAGAGATTCAGACATAAATCAGTAAATAGACTCTCTATATAAATGTCAAATAGTTATTACATGCCTAGCAGAGTATATAATAAACAAACACAATCAAGAGATTCAAGTATAGTTTTGTTATGTATGACTTAAATGCAGTGTTATAATAAATGCTTATCACTAAGCAAATACAATACTTAAAAATGCAGTAGTACACTATATCCCTGTTCAAAGATTAATTTGCTGCACATTAACTGCAACAATATATATATATATATATGCTAAATTCAGCTGAACATATAATAATTATAAGCTGCAGAGTTATTACTTAAAAAATACAACGTTACACATTGTGCAAGAACAACAGGCATTATTTAAATTGAGACACATAAGACTTGCAAAGCAACACCATTAATTTACAGCGTTCTCAACGATTAAACACACAGACAGTGAGAAACTCCGCCATTATACGACAACGAGCAGCAACGCGCCACAACATTATTGTGAGGTAAAACGAACAACAAACATCAGTATACTTACTGGTAGTTGCACGCACACAATTCTAGGAACTTATAAGTACAGGAACACTATCCTATATTATCAATTGACGGCACAGTCTTTTAACACCAGTGCTCTCTTCCAAATTTTCCCGAACTGAACTTTTAATCTGTATTCTTCCGTGAGCCGCAGAGCGCAGTGCCGCTCCCGATTGGCTGATTCTCAAGCAGCCAGTTTTATCTGCATAAAGAGGTCATCCTTCGTCACATATTCCTTTTGTAGTTAATTAATTACAGTATTCTAAAGTGTTACCCATATTTCTCTTAAAGGGATACTCCACCCAAAACTGAAAATTCTGTCATCATTTACTCGCCCTCAAGTTGTTGCAAACCTGTATGAGTTTCCGTACAAAGGAAGATATTTTGAAGAACGATTGGAGCAGTTGTTTGGCATCCATTAGTATTTTTTTTTTTCTACTATGGAAGTCAACGGTGCCAAAGTTCCAATCGTTCTTCAAAATATCTTCCTTTGTGTTCAGCAGAACAAAGAAACTCATACAGGTTTGCAACAACTTGAGGGTGAGTAAATGATGACAGATTTTTCATTTTTGGGTGGAGTATCCCTTTAAAAGGGTGATAATTGCATACATTTTCCTCACAGCTAAGGCTCGTCACTGGTGAAAGGCCATATGGTGCCATCAGAACTTGGATGCAAAGATGGCATTATGCAGGTGATGTACTTCCAGAGGTGTACTACGCTTGTCAAACAGTTGTCAGGGAGATTGGAAATGGTTTTCTTTAGGTGTTTTAGGGCCCTTTCACACTTACCTTGTTTGATCCGGACTTTCGGACTTTTCAGTTTGGTCCGAATCAAAATTACAGGTGTGAAACCTCCCCCGGACCACGGTCTGGACCAAACAGATGAAATTTGGTCAGACGAAAAGAGGTAGTCTCGGTCCGGGTCAAACTGAACAAAGGGTTGGTTCGTTTCTAGTGTGAAAAGCATTTCTGTATGGTTCGGACTTTCAAACCTTTTACAGGAAGTTCCGGTGGTTCCCGCTTAGCCGAAAAAACAGAAGGTGGCAGGAAAAATGAGCCGTGGCACATGGGGAGAGGAGGAGACGAGGTTTTTAATTGAAGTATGGTCTGATGACATAATAAGAAGTCAACTTGCAGTCTTCTCCTCCTTTCCTGCCAGTGACGATAAAATATTCGCACGACGATGACGTTCATTTGGCGAATTTGAACCAGCCTTGTGTATAGTTGGTGCTGCAGGTAATTATGCCATAAAAATAACAATATAGTTGCAACGATATGCGTCTGTTCATTCATGTTGTCAAAGTTAGCCGCCGAATTGACCACACGCTGACGTCAGACGCACGTCCATTGACAAAACCAATCAATGTCAAGTTGCAGCCCACACAGATGATGACGACAGTACGCAAATATGTCACGTAGAGTTCTTTAGTGCGCTTGCATAATTGCAGTGTGAAACCAAACTAAAACTTTCTGAAAGTATAAAATGTATCAAAACGTGAACTTTGGTTCGGACCTTGGTGCGGACATTCATGTGTGAAAACGCCCATAGACCTAACTGAATTTGAAAGGTTGGTTTTTGTTTGACAAAGGACCTTGAATTTAAGCAACGAGCATTTAAAAAAAAACCTAAAACAAACCTGCCAACACAAAGTTATTGATTTCGTCACCAGTATTTGTCCACTTTATCCTCTCTTCTCTGAGATTGCTGCTGCAGTCATTAACCCGTATTAGCTGTACAGGTGTGTAGACAAGATAGCTTGTTCCAAGTGCTGCTCAAAAGTTTTAAGTGAAGGTGCTGGGATCATTCCCATGTGCTGACACTGCCGGAATCCTCTAAAGAACCGCATTGCATTCTCCCTTGAGTTTACTACCACCCACTAATGGCCATCATTTGGACACAACGCTGCTGCCAGAAGATCTTTTAGCAGAAGCACATGACTTGATGAGCTCAACACAACAGAATGAATAATGGATAATGAGACGGTTGTTCTAAGCCAGCTGATTTGAGTTATTCTGTGGCTTTAGTCCACATGCTCATGCAGAGAATCTTCAGGTCTGTCTTTTGTAATGACAGTACTAAGCACAACGGTAGAACTGGAACATTATGTCTTATGCTCACTAAGGCTGCATTCATTCCTGAGATGGCAATTCTGAATTTTCAGCATCATTACTGCAGTCTTCAATGTCATATGACCTTTCAGAAATTCTGATATGCTGATTTGTTGCTAAATATTTTTGTGAAACCATGATACTCTACCATTCAAAAGTATGGGGTAAGAAACAACGAGAGAGAGAGAGAGAGAGAGAGAGAGAGAGAGAGAGAGAGAGAGAGAGAGAGAGAGAGAGAGAGAGAGAGAGAGAGAGAGAGAGAGATGCAATTGTCACTTTTATTGTTTAATTGTTGTTTGTACAGACATTTATAACCTTACAAAATATTTCTATTTCAATTAATGCTGTTGTTTTTAATTTTCAATTCATAAAATAATTATGACAAAAACTTATCACTGTTTCCACAAAAATATTTAGCAGCAAAAACACATTAATAAACATATAATAATAACAACCATTATTAATAATTGAGTATCAATACGAATTTATATTAATTGAGCTACAAAGAAGAGGAGCAGATCATCTAAATGCAGCTTTTAAGGTAACAACATGTAACATGTAACAAGTCCCCAGGAGAACAGCTTCACATAAAGTAAAGACAACATCAGACAAAGAACTGAATCAAACTGAGGGTATATGAGCACAGCTAGCATAATGTAGCCTCGTGAGACCATCCTGATCTCGCGAGCTTTCAAGGTTTCACTCGCAGATCACTGGATACTTTCCGTTAAAGAAAATTTGGGAGCAGTTCACCTAACGAACGTCCAATCAGCGTTGGCTTTGAGGCGGGTTGAGGTGTGACGCAACGAGAAGCGCGTCAGTTCAGTCTAAAGAACATGTCGGCTTCAGCGGATGAAACTAGCATCAGCGTGGCTATCGAGCAAGTTTTATCGGAATTACAGAGTATTTCTTCACTGAAAGAAGAGCAAAACACTGCTCTGGAGGCTTTTCTCAGAGGAGAAGATACGCTCTGTTAGTACGTCATATGCTTCGTTGATCTGATTGGTTGATTTGGCCCGTCTTTCACCAACATAGGCCAATCAGCTAACCAGTATTTTCGCCCCTTACCAAAACTACTTCAACGGAAGGTTTCCAGATGGATATGCGGAGCAAATCCATCTGGCGGAGTCAGGTTAGGCATAATGAGGAACTCAACTAGAAATGTGTGTTGAACATAATCTGTAACTACGGAAACTAACTAGTAACTAGACCAAAGGAAAGTCAAGTCAGCTTTATTTCTATAGTGCTTTATACAATAC